TAATTTAACAGAAATTTCTCAAAATAAATTTTTAAAAATACAATTATTATAGCAGAAGATTTTTAATATTTCCTTATTTCACAAATAGTAACTATTACTGGATGAAATTTATGAGGTTTTTTTGTCTTTGCCATTTATATAATATAGAAATATGTTTAAAAATAGTAAAATATTTATTAAAACTTACTTATTATTGTTTTCCTCTATATTATTGATATATAGTATGTTTTAAAAATGGATTATAAAAAAATAAAATATATTATGATAAAATTGTAATAAGATTTATAATACATTCATTTAATTTATTAAATAATGTTAAATAAGATTTAAATTTCAAGTAATTCAATATATTTAAGGCAATAATTAAAGAAATATAAACTATATTCTTGATTTCGTGATTATGAAGATGAATAAATATATTTTAAAGAAAAATCTAAAAAATTATATGGGATTCGCATTTTATTTTTATGGATGTTAACTATCGTATATTTATCAAATAAATATTTTTGGATGAGTTAATTTTTTTTAATAACTTAATAAAAATAAATATTTATCTTGTTAGTTTACATATTATATGATTTATTCCTTTTATCATATTGTTTTTTTTATATATAAAATATTATAATTATTTATTGTTTATATTTTTCTTTAATATTATAAAAATTAAAAAAAATATAATAAAAAAAAAAATCACGATTTAATTATATTAATTAAATATTTTAAAATTAAAGAAAAATAATAATAAATAAAAATAAATAATATTTAAATTAATATAATAAAAGTTCATAAAAATTATATAAGAAAATTTTATATATATCTTAATAATTAAGAAATATATGTATATTATAAAAAGAAAAAAACTATTAAATTGTTATTAATTACTAACAATAAAAAATTATATATAATTAAATTATAATTTAAATTTTTATATTTCAAATTTAAAAATGATCATAATATTTTTTTCATCTTAGAAAATAGGTCATTTTCGGTTTATAAGCAATATCTTTATCAATATCAATAGTTTTAAAATTAATCAAGAATTATTATTAGGGCTAAACTTCAATATGAATAATATCATCGATATCATATTTTTCGCATCTCAAATTTACAAGCCCTATTTATAAATCTTCGACATAAACCTTAGAAGAAGTTTTATTAATATATAAAAAGCACATACCTCCATAATATACAAAAGTATGTACAAAAACCTTCATAAATTTCCCATGCATTTCTCTCTACTTAACCTTTGAAGGTTAAAAATGTGACATTTAAATTAGTTTCTACTCAGTTACATCTCTCAAATCTTATAATAAAATATAACTTAAACTACTTTAATATTTATATACTCCTCTACCTAATGTTTGAATATATATATAAATATATAAAAAAAAATATAATTATATATATTTAAATATAAATAAATTTTAATAAATATTATTATTTATATATATTTATATATATATATTAAATATTTATATATATATATAAATTAACCTTTAGCATCTACTTTAAATTTAACAATCTATTAATCACCTGGTTTTATATTTATTTTAATTTAATCTTAGTAAGTATGAGGAGGACAAATATTAAGAAACGTAATATTTTTCATTTATAATTATTCCTTTAAATAAATATCGTACGAATTATTTTAATAAATAAAATACACATATCCACAAACTTATCCTGTTATTCTTTTTATTTATTAATTATATTTATGTACTCTTTTAACATCTTCACTTAATGCATGAACTTAAAATATATCTTCAATTAAACTTTCTTAACTAATATTGTTATTAATTTCAATAAATTCAACTAATTATTCTCCATAATTCCACAAAACGAACTCCCTAACATCATTTTGTATCCAATCAAATTCAACATATACTAAATAAATTCCTTCTTAAAACAATGCTTCGAATGAAATATCTCTTTCACAATCAAACTCACCTCCAATATATTATTTAATTTAATTATTTTCTATTCTAAAAACCATAAGTCTTACCATCGAATACTAATAATTTTTATTTTCTGAAAAATTTCTTTAATCATTTTAGCTAATTCCGACATTTCCTTGACATTAAGAATTAACCTTCATACTAAATAGTTTCACATTCAATTTTTCTTAAATATGACAACACTTAATACTAGAATATTTATATTTTTCATTAACTTTAGAAACACAAACCTATCTAAATTATTAAACAAAATCGTTCAAATTAATCCAAAAAGTTCCATCATTTTCTTATACATCTAATTATTTTTTAAAATCAGAAGTCAATTTTTTCGAATTATCACTCTAATCCTCTTTCCATTTGAAAACTCCCCAAGGGTTCCTGACTTAAATAATTTTATTATTTTTTCCTTCTGAATCAATTATTTCTTTCACATCAAGCAAGCTATAGCAATGTGCTGATGTAATTCCGAATAAAGCTTCTTTTTTTTAAGCTATTTCATTATTATTGTTCTCAAAACTAGCAGTTATTATATAATTATTTTCAATTAATCCATTATATAACAGTCTCCATAATTCTTCCATATCAAATCCACCTTAAGAATCCCTTATCAAATAAAAATAAGGTGCCCCAGTTAAATCATGAGTAAAGTGTCCAGATAATCCTCTTTCTATTTATTCATAAGATCCATATACTTTGGCATAAGCTTTTTCTAAAAGAAGTACCCAAATTTCATTCTCATTAGACTACGAAAAAGCAGGATAGAAAACATTATCTTTCTCAATACATGGAAAAAAGTCATCTAATAAAACTTATTGCCATTCACCATCTTTGCAAATCCAAACTACATAAAGTCCTTATTTATTTATTTATTTTGTTTATATAAGTCTTTCAATTAAAAAAGGTTTTTTAGCTATGCAAAAAAGGGAAGATAAAAAATAACAATTTCCTAACTCGCCTTATTTAATGTTGTTTGGCTATATTCCTTTGCTTACTATTTTTGGATTTTAAAGGAACTCGTGTATACGCTTCCATTAGTATTTTTAGGCACTTTAGAAAGATTTTAAATCTTTTGTAAGGCTTTAAATTTAAGGGGGAAATTAAGAATCTTAAAAATTTGTATTTTATTCTATTAATTTATTTTCATAATTTTAAAGATCTATGCTAGGTCTTGGTAATATAATGTCGGTTATTAAATCTGTTTTTGTTGTGAATGAAAATATTTCATTATTATGTAAATCTAAATGGCTTTATGAAATTTTAAATTAATTATCGTTATTTATTCTCTTTTAAAGAGAATTTATTATTGGAATCTTTATTTATGTGTTTTTTTATTAAATATTTGCTTAATCGTTTTATTTAGTAAATACTTATCCCATTTTAATTTTTTAGAATTTTTTTAAGTTTTTATTTTTTTGAATTAAAATATTCAGTTTTTTTAAAAAAAATTAAAAAAAATATAAACCCAATTTTTATTTTTAAAACATATATTTATTATATGATAAATTATTTATTTCATTTAAAAAATTACACTAATAATTACTATTAAGTTTATTTTTAATTTTTATTTACGAAAAAAGGATCCCCAAGTTAAGCCAATTCTTTAAAAACATTTTAAACTTTAGAATAAAATGAATAATCTATTGACTCAATAATTTAAATACAATTTTAGTTATTTTATAAATTTTAATATATATTTTCTTTTTCTTCCTCTTCATTTTTAATTGATTTCTTATCCATACTATTATTATTCGAAGAAAAATTCAAATTTTGCATAGAGTTATTATAATTAGATAAACTATTAGATTTCTAAACTTAAGAATAAATAGAAAATTGTCCTAAATTTGGCAAATTTTGTATATATTTTACACTAAACTCGAAATTATAATGTATTAAATATAATTTTTTTGAAAAAAAACCAATTTTATCATTACTTTAAAATTCTTTCAAAAACTAATTAGTAAAGTGAACATTTTTACATATATTTAGATCCTTTTTTTACATATATAATGGTAAAGATACTAATAAAGATAAAATTGTCCTCAATAAAATAGTTAAATTTAATATAAAAATTGATATGTTTCTTATTACATGGGAACTTTATTCAAAGTTTTCTATATATTCAAGTTTAAATTACCATTCTTCATATTTTATTTATGTATTTTTATCAAAAACTTCTATGTTTAATTCTTTTTATTAACTTTTTGTCCAATTTTAGTTTTATTAAATGTTATCCTCAATTATTTTGAATATTTTATCATTTATTAAATTGAAATTACAGTCTATTATATTTAATTTTTATTATTATTCTTAAAAATTTCGAAATTACAATATTAAATCGACTGCTTTTTTTATAAAATTAATACTTTCTTCATTTAGCGTTTGCATATAAGACATTGCTTTGCTTGTTAATAATTAATTTTTTATATATATATATAAAATATTTTTTTTTTTATTAAATAATAAATATAAAAAAAAAATTAATTATTTTAATATATATAATATTTTATGTTTATGCATTATAAGCATTATAAAATTTTAAATAATTATATATTTAAAATTTAAAAATCACTATTTTTTATTATAATATTTATTATATATTTATTCCAAATATTATTACTTATTATAAAAATTATAGCTATTTTTGTCATATATAAATATTTTTTTATTTATATATTTTTATTTATTTAAAATATCATTTCATTTAAGGCTTTTTTTTAATTATATAAAAAAGAAAAAAAAATATTTCTTTCAATAATTCAATAATATTTAGTAAAATTCTAAAATATATATTTTAAATAAAAAAAACTACTTATAAAAATGTATTTTATAAATAAATAAAAATTAATATTTGATTGACGTTTAAAAATAATATTGATATTATTAAAAATACTTTTTGGTTAGTTTGTGAAATATTAAACAAAATAAACAAAAAAATAAATATAAAATAATATTATTACTTATTTATAAAAGTATAATATTATAATATATTAGTTATTTATATTTTTTTTCTTTTTTCTGTAATTTTTTAATAAATTCAATCTTTAAAAATAAAATGTTAAAAAAAATGGATAATAGTCTTTCTTTATTTATTTAAATTTTAAAAAATAGTTCTGAAGAAACGAAAAAACAAAATAACTGGTTACACAATTTAATTCTAAATTTTTATTTAAAATTTATATAATTTAATTTTTTTTAGATATACATTAATTATTTAAATAAATACTTTGCTAAAAAAATGAAAAAAAATAAAATAGTCTTTTAATGTAACTTAATTAAAAAATGCTAAGTTATATGTACTATTATATAAAAAAAAACAAGATAATTAGAATAATGAATTAAAAATAATTGAAGATCTATAGTTATAATTTAAAGTAATTTTTATTATATTTTTTATAAATTATTTTTATTTTTTAGTAAATTATTGATATAGTATACTAAATTCAAGATAAAAATAAAATTCTAAAGCTATTATTCAGGAAGTAAAAAAATAATAGCTTTTAATGTTAATAAATAAAAAAGTGGAGAAGAATTAAATGATAGTGAGCTATAATAATTATTGAAATTAATTTAAGGAATAAAATATTTAGAAAGCTTATAGTTCTCATTTGGGTAATAAGAATAATTAATAAAAATATCATCAAATAATAAAACACAAACATTTAAAATAAAATAGGTATAATAATAAGTTAACAGATCTTTCTTTAAATTATATTAAATAATATGCAATATAGCAAAGAAGATAATTACAAACATTTGTATTATGTCTTGCGTAATATTAAATTAATTTATTATTTAATATAAATGTAGTTTAATTATTTAATTTAGATCTAATTAAATCATTTAAGATAACGGAATAATTTAATTTTGTCAAGGATTAGGTTAATTGTAATCTTTATAAAATTTTGAATTGGTATTAAGGTTTTACTTATTAGATAATTATTTATTTAATTAAGTTTTAGCATGAATAATGCAATTACTCAAAAAGGGTTTGATAATTTATGTGGTGCAATATGTTAACTTTAATAGCTTGAAACTCTTAAATTATATTTTGGGTAAATAAAGCTTAAAAATATAAAACCAATTGCAAATATTTTTATATTTATTATCTTTTTATTTTAATCTGGAAATTATTGATATTATTTTAATCTTTAGAATTAATCAAAATCTTTAAGACGAAAGTTTAATTATGTTAAGCTCTAGTATTAATAAATTGAATCATTTATCTATATTATGCTTATCATTTGAGTTTTAAATACTTTTATTATTTTTATTTAAATCAATAAAAAGTTCTAATATAAAGTTTACTGATTTAGGATTTTAAAGTTTATCTAAATGTATAACTGATTTCTCAAATTTACATGTTCTGAGATTAAATTTCTGGTTATAAAATATTTTTAAATAAATGCTTTATAAATATTTTTTTTAATTATTTTGATTAGTATGAATATAAAATTTTAAAGACATTCTTTCGCATAGTTGTTTGAAAATATATTGAAACAAAATCATATTATAGAATTGGAATTAAACTTTTTGTAAATATTTATCAATACTATTTTATCGAATTTTATTTTGTTTAGGCACAATAATTAGATGAGACAAAAAGAAATAAAATATTATTTTTTAGAATTTTATTAAAGTTTAATTTATTTAATTCACTTATAATTGTTTTTTAAGTAATAAATAATACTAAGTTTTAAATTAAATTTTATTATTATAGTTTTTTAATATATACTGAAATATCTTTATTCAATTAAATTTGAGTTAATAAAACAGATTATATAAGATAAATATTTAAATTTTGCATATTTATATTAACTTATTAATTATTTAAAATCATAATTTTAATTTATTATTTAATAGACTAATTTATATTTATATTTTTTTTCACTTAACATAATATATTAGAATATTATTATACAAAATTAGATTTTAATGCTTCACTTTATTTTTTTAATGAAACATTAAAATATTTAATCATTATTAGCTTTTTATTTTAAATTAATGATTTTAATTTTAAAATAATAAAATTTCTCAGTTTAAAATTTTAATGCAATTTATATAAATAACTTTAAAAAATAAAAATATATAACCTTAACTTATTAAAATTTAATAAATAAAAAAATGATGAATTACAGATAAACTTTAAAAACTTTCTTTATTAAAATTATAATAATAAAAAAAAAATATTTAACGCACAATCAATAAACTATTTTGGTAAAATATGATAAAACTGGATATATTTACATCTTGCAAGATAAATAATTAACGATTATTTACAGAGATATATTTTATTTATTGAAAAACATAAAAGACTTGTAAAAGACTAATATATTATTAATTAATTATTTGTTTCCATTTCTTTTTTGAATAAAATTAAAAAAGAGGTTTCTGTATTTATTTTATTAAATTGAATAAAAAATTTATTAATATTCATAAATTAATATTTAAGTAATTTATTTAATTATATATATTTTTGATTTTTTAAAAATAAACATAAATAAAATATTATTTTGATATTTCAAATAAATTTTAGTAAATAGAAATTATTAGTTTAAATTAAATTAGAAAAATAAAAATAAAGTAATTTTTATATAGAAGAAAAACTAAAAATCAAAATATAATTTTTTAAAATTATTTTTTTGTATATATAAATATGTATTTTTAAATAAAAATTAATAAAAATATAAAATATATATATTTTTATTAAAAGTTGTATTGAAAAAACTAAAAATAATTTGCCGAAGTAAATTCTTACAAAAAAAAAGAAATTATAATATGAATAGTTAGCAAAATACATAGTAAATATTAATTTCAAAAGATAAAAACAATGAGTAACCATTAACATAAACGGTGCAAACTTTTTCCAAATTCGCAGATGCTTCTTGTCATAAGCATTCAGGTGTTATAAAAACCCAAAAAACATTATAAAGAAGTGACGAAATAATTTTATAGCAATAATAATTTACTAATGAAATAACAGAATAAATACCTTTAAAATTTGGAGATGTATTATCTTTAAGTCCCAAAGATTAATTTTTAAAATTTATTACATGTGATGGATTTGTATAAACTAAAGCTTATATAAAAAGTTTATAATATGATGGTAATGGTTAGCTTTTTGATAGATGTCTTTTCCGTATATATCCTGTATTCAGTGTGACTAATTAATAGGCTTTAATTTCTTCATATAAGAGAAAAAATAAAACAAACAATAAATACAAAAGATAAACAACTGTTGCTAAAAAATCGGAAGAATAAAAATAAGCAGAGCTTTAAAATAATGTAATTTAGGAATATAAAAATAATTTGGATTTATACGAAAAAATTAAGGGAACAGAAATTTCCTTTAATTAAGATGTATAATTTTTGCATTTAGCTTCTAATAAATTTTTGGTTTGTAATTACATTGAGTCAGGTATAATTTTAATAAAATTTATTTATATTTTTTTAAAAAGATTATGAAAAAGAAAACTTTAAATTAGAATTGCAAGAATTCTCTTCTCAAAATACAAATTTTAAAATATTAAATTCTTTTTCACATTAGATAAGAAATAATAGGTTTTTTATATTTAAATATTAATAAAAAATTTATGAATAAAAAAAAGAATTATTAATATTAATGATTTAGTATATATAACTTCTTCTAAAACATATCTTGGCCGATTACCATATATTCATTGCTCAGAATAAAAATAAAAGCATGAATAACATGTCGAAAAATAAAATGTTTATAATGAAATTGAAGATAAACAATAAGCGAGTCAATTTTTAAAAAAATGGAATTAATAAAAATAATATTAGAACCTTTAATAATCTATTTAAACAATAAATTCTTATAATGATATTCCACAAGAAGTAAAATATAAAAATAAAATAATTATATATTATCAAATATTTTCTAAAAGTCTCAGATTTCCATATTAGAATAACAACCTAAATATAAGAGAAAACATAGTGTAGACAGAAATAATTATTTGTTGATAAATAATAAAATCCCAAACATTAATATTTTACAACTAGAAGCAATAAATGGAAAAAGAAAAGGTGATGCTAATAGCATTTATTTATAAATCCCAGGAATATAATAAATTAATTATATGTAGCATTCTCATAACAGCAACAACAGCGACACAAGTGGTTATAAAAACTCATATTCTCCTTTTTCGTAAATGAAATTAAATGAGGTGGGATTTAAAACTGTTTCTATAGGAACCAATAATGTGAGTTATCATGAAAAAAATAGGATAAAATAAGAGGCTAATTTATCATTAGATTAAAAAACGAAATGGAAAATATTCAAGTTTTCTAACTTTGAGGAAGACAAAAATCTAATACAGTACGGAGATATAATTTGGTTACACCATATAGAATAGGCAAATACACTTATTTTGAAAAAAATAGATTAATAATTGGCTGTAACTATTGAAAATTCTATTTAAAAAGAATTGTTTTAAAAATATGAAGGAAATACTAATGGAATGTGGGTTGTTGAAAAAATTTGCTTTTATTAAGGAGGTAAAATACATTGGGATGATATTTTCTTTTTAAGGTTTTTTTCAAAATAAATAATAATTTTTTTAAAAAAAAATTAAAAATAGAAATTTTATTACTGGAAAATATTTAAATATTGAAATTAAAGAAAAAGATAATATTTTAGAAGGATATTTTAATGTTTTAGACGCTCCTTAACAAACATCGTTTTTTTAATTTACCTAAATAGGTTTTCAATAAGAAAATGATAATTTTATTAATAAAGATTCAATTTTTTATATTAAATCAAAATTTTATGATGTAAAAAATAAAATAAAATAAATATAAATATAAAAAAATATATTAAATTAGGGATGGATTCACATCAAAGAAAAATAGCATTGTGAAAATTAATTAAATATAGGGCTAAACGAAAATGGGAATGAAGAAAAAGATGAAGAAAGCACTTTTAAACATTTAAAAACCAATATTATGATATAAATAAAAAAGTAATAACCTTTAGATGAGGACGCATTCAAATTATATAGAGCTACTATGGCTGAAATTTAAGAAGCAAACTTTTTGGTGAGTTGCTATCCCATTTTATCCACTCAAATAGAAAATTTAAAAAAATTGTAAAGTTTAACTGATAAAAATTAAATAGTAAAAGAACTAATTAGATAAGATTACGAGGAACAATTAAAAGCATTAAACTAGTGCTTATTAGATATAGATAATTTTTGCCAAAATAAAATTATAAACATTTCTATAGACGATTAGACATTAAATTATGGTGAAATTAACCAAAATAGGCAAAGATTATTGACAGAATTATATTATATTGACTTAATAAGCGAATTGCTGTAAAATTTATTAACTGAAGATGAATTAATAGAAGTCGTTTCAATATTCAAAATAGATAAAAAGAATAAGTTTGTATAGAAAATTAAATAATGCCTAAAAAAATAAAAGTACGTCAAAATCAATGTGTAGAAACTAGAAGTGTAACTTATAAATAAGTCTAAGTATGATTTTTATAATGGGGAAGATATATTATAAGAGCAAACTGGTATTTATAAATTAATACATCATCAGAAAAATAAAATGATAAAATAATATAATTAATACCTTAAGTTAAAATATAATATGGCTTAAATAGCTTATAATCTATTGATTTAAATTTGTAAAGATAATAATGAAAATGGAAAATATGTATACACAAATAAACTTAATATGTTCAAATATTAAGCTAAATATATCAAAGAAGCTATAGATTTTATTATTTCTATTGTTGGGAGAAACGAATTTATTTTAAATAACTTAACTGATGATATTAATTTTGCAGAAAGAAAAAAAAGAAATTTAAGACAGACGAGGTCAAGTTCTTAGAGTAGATTAGATACTTAAATTTAATTATCTACTAATACAAATAAATTGGATAATGATTTTAACAATTTGGAAAATAATATTTTAATTTACATTATAAACTCAGTTTGCAAATTTGGCAGTTTTAACAGAAATCATAATTTTTTGAATTTCTTTAGAGCTATTTGTAAATTTAACGATAACGGTATTTCTGTAAACTAAGAGGTTATATTTAAGCTTATCTAATAGAAAAAAACTATCGAAAAAAGCTTATTTATTCCAATGTACATAAATTAAAAAACAAAAGTTAAATGCTGATTTAATTTCAAGATAATTAATAAAAAGAAATCGTTTTAGACGAAAATTTATTTGGAAAAGATTGTCCTTTACAAAGTAACTAATAATTAATATATTTAGTTGAATAGATAAAATTATACTCGGATTTGTCCCTTTCAAGGAATTATTTATGGAACGATAAATTAGAATAATAATTTCCTTTAGAATATTTAATATCTCAAGTTTTTAATAATCGTTTACACGACGAAATCAGAAGTGCATTTTGTTAGTTAGTTTCTACAGTATATGTAGATCACGAGCCTTTAAATTTACTGATATTGCCTTAAATGTGTAGAATATACAAATCTAAATATATTAAATAAATTGATTATGAATAGGATGTTCAATTATCATAATAAAATTTAATAGCAATAAAAAAAAGCAAGGAAATATTTAAAGAAAGAAAAGGGTTTTTTGAAAAATTAGTAACAGACTGTTTAGGATACATAAACGAAAATATCAAGGATATAAACGCTCACTATGCAAATATAAAAAAACAATATACTAATCGAATTACCAATATAGACTAGCCTGGAATGGATGTCCTTTCGAATATTTTGACTTTTAATATCGTAAAACTATTCATTACCCTTATTAGATTTAATATTTTATCACTTATTAATTAAAAAAACTTATATCCAGAAATTATGACTTCTTTAGTTTAATTATTTGAATATGATTACTCAAATATGTAATTGACTTTAAATTTATAATAAAAAAGAAATGAAAGAATAAAAATCGCATAAAATTTTGCAAAATAAAATAAGATTTTTAATGATATTAAAAAGGGAATTAAAAAAACTACTATGTAATTAATTGATGCCACTTAAAATATAGGATGTGGTCTTAAAATGGTAGGAGATTATATTGGAATTACTAATAAAAAAAAGAAAGAAATAATAGAAGAATTAGCAGAATACAGTGAAAATTTTCTTTAAAATAATTCACTTATAGGAGGTTTAATTACATTGATTTAGATGATAAAAAATAGCGAAAACTAGGATGCAAAGAATCAAAAATAATTATAAATAGAAACAGATTTAAAATAAGAAATTTGTAAACTTTTACACTTTTTATATAATATGAGAATGGATTATTTAATTCTAAATTTTTTAACTTGGTTTGATCAAATTGGTAAATATATTTTTAAAAATGTATTTAAAATTATATAATATATAAATTTTAGGAAATTAAAATAATTTATTAACTCTTTAAGAAGAATAGTTATAAAAAAAAGTTTAATAAATTTTGGAAGAATAGTTATGTACCGTTATTCCTAATATATATAGAACTGGAATTGATGATATAGATGATTAATACAAACCTAATGAAAAGAGGTTTAGTTTATTTAATTTTTTTTAAAAAAAAGATAAAGTTCACAAAAATAAAAATAAATTAAAAAATTTTGTTAATTACATTAAAGATGAAGACAAAGTATTTCCTGATTTAGATTTTCTTTTAGTAGGAAAATAATCTGATATTCATGTAATAAATTAAATATTTTTAAATTTAATAAAAATATAATTTATATAGAAAGTATCATCAGAAATATTACCTTCTTTATTAGTCTCTTTTTATTTAGTTTCAGATAGTTAATTATAAGATGCTTTATTATAATTAATTTTAAAACTTTTTAGTTAAACACACTATTTGTTTAATAATGTTTAATAGCTGGAGGTTTTGTTTGATAAAAATGACATACTTCCATATTAAGTAATTTATAAATGTTTATTTTTTACAATTTTTAAATAAAGGTATTTTAATTAAGAATATATAAATTAAAATTGATTACCGAAAAATCCGAAGTTTGGTTAAATGCAATAGCAGAATCTATTAAAAACGAAAGCTTTCATAATGAAGATTTGCAAGAAACGAATAATGCCCTAAATGATATAAATAGCTTATTTTTTAAGGGAAGTATAGTAAATGATGATAAAAGTATAACTCCTTCAAAGTTTTATGTTTAATATATTGAAACTTTAACAAAACCTCATAACTTTTATGCATTAGAAACTATAAGGTAATAATGTAGATTTGAAATCGATAAAACTAGATAAAAAATATTCACTTTTTTAGAAGGAAGTATGCCTATTATTAATTTAATAAAAGATGCACAAAACTAACTTGTTAAATTTTTAAAATAAAGTTCAATATGTGAACTTTCTAAAATGAAAATATTTTAGTTATTAAGGAATTTGTATTTTGTTTTAACACATTTTTGCATAAACGTGGAAGCAAACTAAATTACGCTTTCGAAATATATAGGATTTTTCTTAGATGAAATAGCTTTTGATTTTGGACAATTAGATTTAGTAGATGCTATTTATAGAAATAATAAATTTTTATGTGAAAGCTTTTCAGATTAAAACTTTAAATAAATACATAATAATATAAAAGAATTCGGAAGATAACCAAGGTTTATTATATTTATTATAAATCATTTTATATCTATATATATATATAAATATATATATATATATATATTTATATATTTATATATTTATATATATATTAATTTAAAATTAGTTTTTTTTATTAATTTTATTTTATATAATTTTTTAAATTTATAGATTTTTGTAGATACTTAAAGTTGTATAAAATTATTAAAATCAAGGTTCTAATTCTAATATTCATTTAATTGATAATTAGATATTAATATTTAAATTGTTAATTCCTAAATAAATAACTGACTAATAAGAACTAAAAAATATGATTAATTGCTATACGGAGAAATCGACAAGAAGAAAATGTATTTAAGATTCGATTTGACATTTGAAGATGATCCAGATGAGGATTTTAGTTAATATGATAATAATTCTGGATTAAATAATAATATTAATAAAAATTAAACTATAGACATTCCTTTCTATTATCATGCAGTTCTTTTAGAGATATTAAGCTTAGCAATTGAAGGAGATGAAGGATTTAATATAAACGTTTAAAAAGTTAAAAATATATTCTAGTTAGATTATATTTTAGGGTTTTTACTTGAAAAAGATGATTTGTTAAGTTCAAATTCTGATTAGCTTTTTGGTTTTAATAATTATGATAAATATCAATCAGAACTAGTTTATAAAAATTAACTTCTAACTAAAATAATGAGTAAAGAATAAGGATTTTCATTATTAAAACCTAAAGTAGTTAATTTAATTATAAATACATACTTGAATAATAATACGGTAAAAATAAAATATATTATATTTTTTTAAAAAAAATAGCCAATGATTGAAAGTTTAGAGAAAGATTTAAAAAAAATATTTGAATATTTGAAAATAGAAAAAGATAGATTTTAATCAATAAAATAATATGATAATATAAAGAAGTTATATTTAGAATATTTTATAGAAAACTTCTTAGTTTTTTGTACTTAATATACTATTTTAATAATAAATATTAATAGTCCAGAAGACAAAGATAAAAGAGACGATTATAAATTATTAATGTAATTAGCTGAATCAGTAATAACTAAAGACATTTATTTTACTAATTAATGCAATATATTCTAATTAAATATAATAAAAAAATTCATTATATCAATAAACGAATAAGAATATTAATAAAAAATATAACTATTTAATTAAACCAATTATATAAACCAAGATGATATAAATATAATTTGTTCAGAAAATAAATCAGAAAATGATGAAGTAAAAATAAAAATAATTTAAAAATAAAATGAAATATAAATAAAAAATAAATATAATAGAGTATTAAAAGCCCTAAAAACTAATGGGTTTGTTAAAATAATTGGGATTTTTTGATTAATATGTGTAAAAAAAGTTAAATTATTCAGGATGCGAAAGAAAATGAACTATCAGCTATAGCTGAAACGATAATGAATATTGGCACTTTATTTGATTCTAATATTGAATATAAGGATTACTTAAAAAAGCTTATTTAATATTTAGATTAAGGTGTAAAAAATAAAGTTTCGATAAATAATATGATATATTTGTTAAAAATATTTGAAAAAATACTCAATATAAGTGAATAATAGGATAAATTAGTTGAAATGTAAAATCTATTTGATTAATTAGAAGCTACCAAAATGTTTCTTAATTTAATTTCAAATATAAAAACTTACCCGTTTGAAGACAATTTGTTGATTGCTTTACTTAGCTTTATGACTAAATTAACAGAAGGAGGTAATCCGAAAGTTTAGAAAACTGTTTATAATTATTTTACTCATTATCCTATAAGCGAGGTATTGTTTAATAAATTTAATAATATTTTGCTTGAATATATCGAAGATTTAAAAGAAATTCAAAAAAAAGATGAACAAAATAGACTAATAAATCAAAATAATAGTAACTATTTTAATATTAATGCATTTGATTAAAGCTAAGCCAATTCATATTATAATTTAAATAAATCTTCAAATGCTAATGGAACTTAAATTTAAAATCAAAGTATTATTAATGATCATTCTAAATCAAATGCTTATTTAAATAAATAAAAAAATTAAAATAATGGTGTAATTATACAAAAAAATAAACATTCAGAACTTGTAATGTAGCTTTTAAAGTTATTGTAATTGTTTTGTGAAGGACATAATTTAGATCTTTAAAATTATTTAAGGCATTAAATAAATAATAGAAATTCTTATGATATGATTACAATTATAGTTGAAGTATATTTTTACAATTTTTTATATATTTCAAATTATATTAAAATAAATTAATTACTCTTTCAATTTTTTTTTATTTCATTTTTTATAAAAAATAGCTTTTAGATTAGTTTAGTTTAAATTTGGTTTAATAAAATTATAAAAACATTATTAAATGCTTAGATACTCTTACTGAATTTGTTTAAGGTCCTTGTAATGAAAATTAGGAAAAAATTATTGATTCAAAATTTTTAGAAATAGCTTAAAGAATATTAAAAGCAGATACAAAAAAAAATTAATCAAAATAGCAAAGTAAAAGCATTGTTCCTTTAAGAAACTAACAAAGTTTAGCTTCAGAAGCTTAAAATTAAAATGATTTAGCTTAAACTTCTTTTTTGAAAAGAATATAAATAAAAAAATCTGAATAGAAAAGTGATAAACTACAAAAATGGTAAATAGAAAAATTAAAATACAAAGTCATGATTTTAGTTACTAGTTTATTAGAATTAAATTCTGATAGTTTAGTAATTAAAAGAATTATGAGAAGTTTACCTTTGAGTACTTTGAAATAAAATTTAGCTTAAATTTACAAGAGATATAAGAAAATTTATAAAGAATAGTATATATCTGAATGTTTAATCATGTACATATATTATATTATAAAAACATAATATATATATATAAATATATTTAGTTTAATTATGATCCTCCTGAAGCAAATTAAAAATAAGATAAATAAAAAGAATATAATCTTATAACGGAAACTGGATTCTACATAATTTTTTTTAATAACCTATTATCTTGAGTTACCAACTAAATAATTAAGTAAAAACAATAAATAATTAGAATAGGACTTAGATATGGAAACAAAATAAGAATTGAATGATATTTAAAAAAACTTTAACTAAAAATAAGTAAATTATATTTTATAAAAATAAAAATTTAAAAAATAATTATAGTCTATGTTTATTTTATAAAAAACAATTATTGGATAATTATGGAAATTCATAAATGATATATTAGCTGGTTTATATAAATACTTTTCGTATATAATGGTTAAATTTAACAAAAAGTAATACTAGAAAAAATTAAATGATGACCAAATAAATAAATATTTCCAAGAAGCAATTTAATTTTTTAAAATAAACTCAGCTTCTATAGAAATTGTTAGAAATAATTAAATCGAAAAAGTTAGGTTTATAAAGTTACCTTTTTGCCATTTCTTACCAAAAGAAACAAAAGTAGAATTTCGAAATAATGTTAAAAGAGATTCTATACATACAAAATATTAGGTAAATAAATTATTTTATTAAAATATAAACTTATACATTAAATAGGAATTATTGATAAATATAAAAATTTATTATTATATGTAAACATGAGGAAAAACTATCATTATTTTTTAATAGAAATACATTCGCTAGTATTTTTGCTAATTATGTTGATATGTGGAGAGATATCGCATTTTTATTAACTATTATCTTAAATATTTTTATTATTATAAGTTTTTCTGAAGAAAATGGTGGAAGACTTAAAAATCCAAAATTAGATGATAACACATCAGTATATGGCACAGTTTAACTATTTAAAAACTTTCGGATACATAATGATATTCTGTTCTATGCTTGTTTTACTTTTCTTCTTAATAAAAAAAGGTCCACTTTACTTGAATGAAGCATGGGCAGCTAATTAAGCTTTTTTAGAAATAAAAACTGGTTAATATTTTTATATAAAAAATAATTTTATTAATCCTATAAAAAAACAGGAATTTTAATCTAATGGTTCAAATATATAATAATAGTTATTATAAGCTTTGTAAGAGTACTTATAAATCCAGAAGTCATTTATTATTTAGCGTATGGAAGCTTAGCAGTACTAGCAACAGAAATACATCCATTTTTCTTCGCATTCCATTTAACCGAATTTTTATTAAGATACCCGACATTAAGAAATATTTTAAGGTCAGTATATGAGCCATATATTTCTTTAATTTTGACATTTATTTTGGTTTTACTTTTTATTTATTTCTTTACAATTTTCGGGTATGTATTCTTTATTTCGGCTTATAAAGGTCGATGCGATGAACTTTATATGTGTTTTTTTGAAACTTTCGATTAGACATTTAAAAATAATGGAGGCCTAGGTGGTTATTATGAAAGCAATGTATAAAAAGTTCCAAGTAATTTTTTATTTTTTTTAACAAAATAATTTTTATATTAGATGATTATAATTATGGAAGATTTTTTATTGAAAATTTTGCTAATATTGCTGTAAATATTATTGCTATATAAATATTTTCGGGTATTATTATTGATAAGTTTAGTTAACTTAGGGATGATGAATAAGAAAAAATGTTTGATATTTCAGAAATGTGTTTTATATGCGGACACACTAGGTATTTTTTTTTATATATATTTATTTATTTATTAAAAAGAGAAATATTTGATCGAAAGAGTGATGAAGGCTTTTCTTAGCATATTAAAAATGAACATTATTTATGGAATTATGTATTTTATTTAGCTTATCTTAAAGAAAAGGAAAGCACTGAATATACAGGTATTGAAAGTTATGTATACGAAAAATTAGAATAAAATGATATTTCATGGTTTCCTATACAAAGGGCAACAATTTTAATTGACGAAGAAAGAAAAATATAATAAGAAAATAATGAAATTGATGATTTTGAAAATTAAGTAATTTTATATTATTTTTATTTTTGATTAATTTATATTTTTTTAGATATAATAACTTGAAAAATATAAAAACTTAGTATATGAAAATACAAATATTATAAATTAATTATATAAATAATTTTAAAAAGATGCTAATAGATTATGATTGATTTTATATTTGTTCACAATAATTTAAATTTAAATAAATATTTTATAAAAATATGAATTTTTTTTTTTTTTAAATAAAATTGATATCTTATTTAAAATAAAATTAGTTAAATTATAATATATTAAGTATTTTTTCACTAAAAAATTGCCATAACTTTAATATATAATTTGCATTTATTTTTATTAAAAAAATATTTTAAATATTATATTAACTAAATATGCTTTTAAAAAATATTATTTTATATCAATATAATTTTCTTTTTTTTAAATAATAAATAATGATTAAGTTTGTTATTGACAATATAAAATCAAACCAAAGGTAATAAATAAGAAAGTCTAAACTAAAAATATGCTTTGAGAAAAATAGAAAAATATACTCTTTTGATACTGAAACATAAAATAATTTTAAAAATTAATTGATATAGTATTTATAAACAAAAAGTATATTACCAAGTCATTAAATAATTTTTTTATTAGAATAAATTAATTTCTAAAATAACTTAGAAATATAAAATGATAATAATAGTATCCTTCAAAATGTACTTTAAATTTACTGTGAAAATATACACTAATTATTACTTAATCAAACTCTTTAGTTTTAATTTAATGAAATGTTAATAAGGTTATTCTAACTTACTGATAATAATAATTTATATTAAATTTTAATAAATAACTAAAGCTAAATAATATAACTTTTAAATAATAATAGAAATTAATATTCTTTTGTAAATTAAATACTTTCAATCGTAAATCAATTGACATTAAGCATTTTATAGAACGATTTTCAGTAACAAATATTAATCTTTTCTTAGGAATATCTAGTACCTTTTATTGTTTTTTGTTTACAGAATTCATTTAATTAGAATTTTGATGAAAAATGTTATATTTCATTAAATGATATATCATAATGTACATATGAATATAAGCAATTAATCATTTAAAATAAATATATTATTAATAATATAAAACTATAATTGAATTCAATATATTTTGATGAAGTATAATATTATTATTATATATATACTTATATTTTTATTAAAGTTATAAATACTTTCATTTTAATTATTAATGATATTATGTTAAACATGTGATTAGTATTTTTTTTTTTTTCAATTATATATTTTAATGAAATTTTTTATTAAAAAAATTAATAGTATGTAATCTTTAATTATGTTCTAAAAAAAATTATTTTAGTAAGCAATTTTATGTATTTAAAAGTATTATTTAACAAACTATTTAATTGCTGAACTTTTATAATCAATTTAATGTATTTTTGAAAAGGGTGAAATTTTAAAATAACAATAAATTATAAAAAGTAATATTTATGTAAATGAATTTTTATAAGAAGGACATGACAGGATTATATAAGCATGTATAATTGATAGAAATGACGACATATTTTAATTGGCTTAAGAAATATATTAAACATATTTAAGCTGATTTTTTTTAAAAAAAAAAATTATTGAAAAAATTAAAGTTAAAAATTGTATCATATATTTTTTTAAAAAACTAATTAATATTATATAAGGTTTTAATTTTAAAAAAATCAAAAAATAAAAATTAATTTATCTATTTTGCATTTTTTATTTATTTATCACCACTTTTTTTTTCTTGGTTTAATTTTTATTTTCTTCAGAAAACTAATCGTTCTCTTAATCATCATCTTCATCTTAATATTTATATTAAGCATCATCATATTCATAATGATTATTATCAGTTGAACTAACTTCATCATTTTTTTAAAAATAGTAATTAATTCTTCTTTGTATTTCTGAAAAACTAATAAATATTTCATCTCTATTAAATAAAGTTTCAATATTAACATCATTTAAAATATCTTTAAATATTTATTTTATCTATACATGGGCTTCTCGAATTTTCTGTTATTATTTTTCAAGTTTTGATTATGTTCTTCTTCTTAAATCTTTACTTATTTTTGCAAATTAAAAGCCTTTGCTAATAAAATCATAAAGTATTTTTACTTAAAAGTAATCAAGATTCATTTCTGAAGCTATATTGACAAAAATCAGATCCTTTAAGTACAACTTATTGAATAAATTTAAATATTTATTTAATTTTTATTATATTATTATTCCCGAAATTTAAATTTCCTTCAAATGTATTTTCATTTATTTTTTTCGGTTTCATCATTATTATTTTTGTCTTATTTATTGGTGGAGGATTTTCAATTATATTTTCAGGCACTGTATTACTTTTTATATAGGAGAAAATTTAAAATAAATAAATATTATTTTTTACTATTTTAATGGATAGTAAAGCTTTATTGGATATGTTTTTTTTGGTGGAAATATACTTTATTATAAATCAATTATTGTTTAAACATTATATATTTAGCTAAATATATTTTTATTTTCAATTAAATCTTACATTAATACCTATTTATTCTTTTTATCTGTGTTTCCTATATTTTGTAAGTCCCTTTTTAATCGACTTTTCGTAGGCTAATTTTGTAATTCAGATTAATCTTTATTTTATTTTTATTTTTACTAGAATCTTTCTTTAATAATTAATGGCTAAATTTATTAAAAAAGCCATAAATTTAGATTCCTTTGCATTATATAAATAGATCTTCGTTCTTTTTTATTATTAATTTTTACTTATTTTTTTATTTTTTTAATTATATCAGGAAGTCTTTATTATAATTAAATATCATTTTCTTTATATAAAGTTTCTTTGTCAAAATTACTGTTGAAATCGTTATAAATTTTAAAATGTAAAATTTAATTTTTAAATCTAACTTCATTATGGATAATTTATTTTTATTGGGGTTAAAAAGTTATTTTTAAATTAAAGAATTTTATTGATTTTTTAATTATTCGTATCTAGGATTATCAAATTATACTTGAATTTATTTTATTTGTTTCTATTCTATAAATTTCTTTATTATTTCTTAATTTTTTTACACTTGCTTTGTTTCCTTTATTCTAAAATCAGAAATAATACTAGGTAAATTTCTTATAGACGGAGGATATAATGGACAATCAGGATATTAATTAGACATTAATTTGTAATATTTAAATTTTTTAATAAATATTTTATTATTTATTTATTTTATATGTTTTTTTTATTATTTTATTTTAAATTAATTTTTCTTTAATCTTCAAAAAAATAAAAAATAAAATTTTGTAATATGATAGATTTTTAAATCAAAAACTTAAATAATTTATATCAAAAATAAAATATGATAATATTATATTTAATCTAATATATATATATATATATATATATATATATTATAATAGTATTTAAATAAGTAATAATTAAATTAATATATCTTAATAAATTACAAACAAGAATAAAAATATAAAAAAATTTTATACATTATTTATTTATTTAAATTATATTTAATAATTAATTTATTAAATGCTTTATGACATTTTATTACTTAAACTTATTTATAATTTAAGTCCTTTAGATTTATTTTTAGTTATAAAATATGTATCAGCATATAAATATTCTATTCGCTTAATACTATTTTAATTACTCTAGAATTTTACAGACAACATTATTCTTCTTTATTTCCTAAAAAATCAAATTTAATATCTTAAACTTATTTCCACAATTCCTATAAGATTTTTTTTTATATAATCGAAGCTTTTTTTACATACTTAGTTGCTTAATTCTTCACTTCGAGCTATTCTAAATTACGCTTTAAACCCTTTTTATTCCCAAAATAATGAAAAATTTCCCCTTATGAATAATTAACTTATAAATTATTTTTTATATTCAAATAATAATTCATTTTTACAATAATTGGCTACAAAACCTTTTTAATTTGTCTCTATGTAAAATAATAAATATATATTAAATATAAATAAAATACTATATTTAATTTATTTTGTATTTATATATTTTAAGAAATACTTAATTTAATAAATTAATATATATAAAAAAGATTTTTATTTTTTTATTTTAATGATCTCATTTATATTATAAAAAAAAAATTAAAATAAGTGTACTCATTGCTAAAAAGATGAAATACCTTTTCTTTAAGTAAAAATAAATAAATAAACTTAAATTATTATTCTCATTATATATAATATATTTAAAAATAATTTTATTATATACATTTTTTATTAAAAAGATTTAGTTGAAAAATGGTAGAATTACATCTCATTTAAAAGAAAATTAATCTAATAAAATTTAAACAAATATACACACAGTAATCATATAAACTTAAAATATTTAAATATAATTTACAATCTTTTAGAGTTTATCTTTTTTACCTAAAGTGTTATTCCTATATTACAGTAAATTTGGAAATTTATTTTTTTTGGTTGTATCTTTAGTAATGCTAATAAGATAAGATCTCTCTTCCTTTAAATCGTAATCCTAAATTACATATAATTATTATTTAAAAATTAAAAATTAGTTGGATAATAATTTTTACTTTATTATTTTTTACATTACTGAATATTTTAAAAGAGTATTATTTAGATAAGTAAAGATCAAAAGCTGATTATATTTAAAATAAATAAAAATGTTAGGTTATTTATATATAAATAAATTTATATTAATATATAAAAAAAAGAGAGGAGCAATTAAAAAACTAGAATAATATGTATTTCCTATATATATTTAATTTAACTATTTTTAATAAACATATGAATTTTTGTTTAAAAAAAAAGAAAAAGGAAAAAATAATTCGAAAAAAAACAATTACAAACAATTTGTAGAAAGAAATAATCTAGCAAAATACATTAAAAGGAAAAACTAATTCAATAAATAAACAAAATACTTAACAAAGTGTACAACAAAAAGAAACTTAATTTATCAAATCAGTTTTTTGGGAAGAATTAACAGTAGGAGATGTGGTAAAAATACAACATGGAGAAACGGCACCTGCAGACATGATATTATTAGACTCAAATAAAATAAGAGATAAATAATGTGTTTGCTACATAGACACAAGTAATGTAGATGGCAAAGATTAATTAAGATAAATTAATGCTAGCTCATTAACAAGAAGTAAATATTAAAAACATTTATATATACTTATTTAATAAAAAAAAAGTTATTAATGCGAAAGACCATAAAAAATATTATTTTAATAAATATAAAACACTTTTAAATTTAAAACTTTCGTATGAACCTCCAAACTAGAATCTTTCAACTTTTAACGGATAGTTACGTTTAAAAAAAGACCCAAAAATTGAATATCTAACAAATGATAATTTTATTCCAAGAGGTTCTACTGTATATTTATAAAAAAAAAAAGATTGGGTTTATGGATTGGTTATTTATACAGGAATGAAAACAAAAATAATGCTTAATAAAAATTATTAAAATCATAAATAATCTTATTTAGAAGGAATTATTTAATATTATTTCCTTGCAAATATTTGCTTTTTAATACTATTTTCAATTGTTAGTAATATAGTATTAATAGCTTTAAGTAAAAACAATGATTTTATTGTTACTTATGTAGATGAAAATGTAACAAATTCTTTAAGATTTCTAAGTTATATTGTTTTGTATTCATAACTTATACCTATTTCTATACATGGAATTCTTGATATTTTGGCTTTGTTATAATAGTTTAAAATTTAAAAAGAAATGGAGAAAAATAAAAATTCCATTTTCAAAATTAACGATCCAAGTATATTAAGTAATTTAGGACATGTAAATTATATTATGTTTTTAAATTAAATATTTTATTTTATTTAGATTGACTATATTTTTATAGATAAGTAATCTTGTTAACTATAAAATGTTATTAATGTTGCAAGGATAACGACTTATACACATGATTATAAGATAGAATAAGAAGAATTTAATGATTTGGTTAAAGGATAAAGTTTTAATAATTAAGAGTTTAAAAACCTTAATACATTAATATAGATATAAACTATTTAAAATATATAAAAAACTTATTTAAATATTAAGCAGATTGATGATGATAAAAATGACAATTATGATATTTTTAAAGACAAAAAGCGATATGAAGAAACCTAAATTTCTTAATAAGAAAATAATAAAAATATTTTTTAAATATGTAAATAATAATTTTCTAATACATTTAATTTTATTTTTATTTTATTTAAATAAAAAAGGTTCTTAAAATAAACATCAACATCAAAATATATTCACATAAGAAAATTTCGAAAACTAAAAATTTACATATTTTACTAGCGAAAATAATAACACAGAAAAGAAAAACTTCGATATAGAAACTGCAAGTACTTAACATGATTATAATTTAATTGATAATTCAAATAAAATCTCTTTAAAATTAAACTTAAAAAATATTAAATAAAACTAAAATCATAAAGAATAATAAAAATTTATTGAATATAAACACATGAATACTTGTTAAACTTAAGACTATATAAAAAGTATGCAGTAAATGCAAGAAGAAAACTATATAAAAAAAGATTTGTAATAATTAATAATAACATCCCTCATATGCAATCATATTGAACATTATAAACTTGATAATTTAGAATTAATAGACAATTCAATATTATAAACAGAAAATTCTCTACTATAATTTGCAAGTTAATCTGGATTCAATTTGTTTTCTTAAAAAAATAAAAGCTATATATTTTTTGGAGTAAAAAAAATAATAAATAAAAAAATTTATCAAAAATTAGAAAAAAAAATTAATTTAAATTAATGAAAAAATGTTTAATTATGAAAGAGGAGATAAAAAAACATTTTCTGTTGTTGTTTAAACCATCTAAAATTAAAAATAAAAATATTTTTTATATTGTAAGGGAGATCCAAATTAAATTCGTTCCAAAATGTAAATTAGTATAAATGAATACCCGCATTTTGACTTTTTAGTTTAAAGCTTTAAAAATTAAGGAATTTAACCTATTGTATTTACAAAAAAATAACTTACATAGGCTTAAGCTGATAAATATATAGAGACTTATAGGCATATATAAAGTAATCCTTAAGTATAAGAGGAAGAATTAAAATAATTAGGTTTAGAATATGAAGTTGATTTACAATTTGTTGGAATGCTAGGATTTTAATAGTGTATTAATAAAGATATTTTACCTTTATTTGATTTAATAAATTAATCTAACTTCAATCTTTATTTGCTTTCAAATGAAAATTAAGAATAAACTTTAAATACAGCGATGTAAATATTAAAAAATAAATATATAAAAATTATAAAAAAATAATATACATATATAAAATTAATAAAAAATAAAATAAAAATTAATTTAGAAATCTAAAAGTATTAAATGGATTTGGAAAATAATCAAATAAACAATATTTTTTAATAACAGAAGATAATTTAGAATAAGTATGGAATTAAGTCCGCTAAATATTAAATGAATTAAATTAAACATTCTAAGTTTAAGAAAGCAAGAGAAACACAAAATAAGCGAAAAGTTACTCACAAAATAAAATTAATGAAACTGATCAATTAAAATAAAAAATTTCAAAGACTTTACAAGACACAATTTTAACTGAAATGCGTTTTTAATAATATTAATTACATTTAAACGGAAAAAGTATTTTTTGGATAAACCAAGACAAAACACTAATGCAGCATTTCACATTTATCCTTTAATTTTGTCGAATAGTAATCGGATATAACATCGAATCTTAAATAAAAGGACAACTAGTAAAAATAATAAAACGAGGAATGCTTTTTAACCCTACTGTATGTTCAATTGGTTAAGGTTACAAAGATACTGAAATGATGAAAATGGCTGATATCTCAATCGAACTAATTTAAACTTAAACCATCTAAAGTGAAAACGGGGGAAAAAATCAACAATTTTAAGTTATTAGTAATGGTGGAGATATATAATTATCTGATGTGGGATATTTAAAGAATCTAATTTTAGTTGACGGTTTAAATTATTTTTTTAGAATTTAGCTTTTGATATACTTTATGTTTTATAAAAGTTTGCTTTTTGGAATTTCTTTATTTTATTTTAATTGGTATTCTTTGTTTTTAGGAAGTTCTTTATTTGATTCTATGTGGGTATTTTTATATGACTTTATTTTAAATTTAGGAACTATTTTTTTATATGGAATTTATGACATACCTTTCCAAAAAACAGTCCTATAAATTTTCCCTTCATTATATATTTCAGGATAGGTTGAAAAATAAAGAGTTTTTTCAAATTTTATACTTTAAAGTATATTGGAAGGTATTTTATAAGGTACTCTAATCTATTATGTGTCTATATATATTGTTTCAAGGTCTTTAAGTATTGATGGCTATACTTCTGATTTAGGAATGATTTCTTTAGTTATTATTTATAGTGTTTTGTTAGTATTCAATTTTAAAGCAATTCTTACTGCATAGAGTCATAAAGTGAAGGCTGTGTGGACGGGTTAGGTATTTTGCTTAGCCTTTATAATAATTTTTATTTTTGCAAACGGTAATGATAATTTTTCTAATTGGAATTGGGTAATTATTACGGAAGAAATCTTTAAAAGATAAGAAACTGTTTATTGTATTATTTATAATGTTATTGTGTGTCTTGTTATCACGCATTTTATAAATGTTTTTGTTTTGGAAATTTTATAACCAAATTCTTATTTACTTAATGCATCTAAAATTTAATAATAAAAAAGTTAAATAATATATATATATTTTTATATTAATTTTATTTTTATTTTAAAATATATAGTTTCTTGGAAAGATTATAATAATAATATTATTTTGGAATAAAGTATTAAAAAAAATAATTGATTTAGGTATTTTAGTTTAAAAAATATTTACAAGTTCAAGCACAATAGAACAATCTGTTTTAGATAGTAATAATTTAAAAATATATATATATATATATATTTCAAATAAATGTAAAAAAGTGGTAACTGCATGCGAATCAGACCTAATTCATTTAAAAATGAACTCTTTTTCCCTTACATTTAATGATAATAAACTTGAAACCAAATATAAATATGAACGGATTACATAAAATTACCAAAACTATCGCCTAATATAATTATTAGTAGTATTCATTCTAATAATATACGTTATAATAGACAGTATAACAGATAAAAACCTATACTAACTTAGATGTTTTCTTCGTGCAGGATTTACTGTTTTTTTCTTTTTGGCATCTTTACTAGTTTTTCTTTAAAAATTTTAAGATTATTAATACAAATTAGTTTTTAACTTACTCTTTATAGCAGTTGCATTCAAAATAGTACTAGATTGGGTCGAATCGAATTTTAATATTTCTATGACCACAGTTATATCTACAAGTATTTTGACTTATAATTTCGGATTAAATATTTATTAGGTACTTCTTTTGAATTTTTTGGACGTTTTGAGTTACATGATTCGAATAATTTACATATATTATGATCAAAAAAGACATAAAATAGAAGGGGATTCTTAAGAACTTTACAATTTTTTTACAATAGCTTCTTTTTTTATTATGATTTCTTACGTTTTTTTACTTTCTATGTATGTAGTATACCAAAACGAAAGTTAAAAAAGGAAATATTTTATAGCTTAACAAGATATTAAAAATACCAAAAAATAAAACGACGCAATACTTTCGATTCTAGTGCCAGAGTTCGTCTAAAACAAATTAAACACAGGCAAATTCGAAATGGCAGATGATTAAGATGAAGTTGCCATTTTGTTTGCTGATATTTGCTATTTTGATGACATTGTAGAGGAAGAACAAAACAATGTAGTGGTAATATTAGATGAACTTTTTAGAAATTTCGACCTTATATGTGAAAAATACGGTGCTTAAAAAATCGAGACAGTCGGTAAAACATATATGGCGGCTACTGGGATAAAAGAATGTGAATTAAATGTGTCTGAATAAATAAAATAGAGAGGAAAAGGTGAAAGATTAGTCTCCATGGCCAAAGAAATGATTGAACATGCTTCAAATTAAAAATGGGGCAAATAATAAGAATCAATATAATTAAAAATCGGAATCAATAAAGGAGAAGTTATGGCCGGTGTAATCGGAAATCCAAAACCTTAATTTTCATTAATAGGAGATACAATAAATACTACATCAAGAATATGTACTTAATGTTCTTATGGAAAAATTTTAATTTCAGAAAAAATAAAGGAAGAGGTCAAAAGCATGAAACATTCTTTTAGGCCGATCACTTTTTAACCAAAAGGAAAAGATGTGATGACGGCATATGAAATAGGAGATTTAAACACTTACAAAAAATTTTAAGGAATACTCAAAATCTTGCATAGCCAGAAAGATAAAGAAGGAATTAATTAAAGTAAATAGAATAGTTCAGGAAATATATAATTTAAAGAAAATGATAAGTAAAATAATGTCATAAATGTACTAAAAGGGAGAAAAAATTTGACTTAAAATAGTTAGAAATCTTTATAAAAAATTATTTTAGCTAATCATTAATAACAATAGATTAATTAAGCTGGATAAGCTAATTTGTATGATGATTAAAATGAATTAGAAAGCGAATTTTCAGAATTCGAAGATGATATGAAACTCGATTAGGAAGATCTTAAAACAAACGCATTTTTAATTTTAAACAAAAGTGTTTCTAAAGAGACTATTTACCATTTCTAAAATTAGATTAAGAAAGATAGTTTGTCAGGAAATAAAATTATGATTTTATTACTAATTCTATTGTATTTAATAAGTACAATGTTTTTAATTACAGTCAGATCTGCGTTTGAATATTCTAATGTTATTTTTATATTAAGAGGAATTCAAACTTTAGGATTTATTGTTACTTTGTTTTTGCTAAATGCAGCTTTTTCTGATAAAAAATGGAAATATTTAATTCAAATTATATTAATATCTGGATGTATGCCTTCTTTATTATAAGGTTATTTCTGTTACGGTTACCAAAGCAATTTTTTAACTATTTAAATTATTGAAGCTTTAATTATATACATGACATATTCTTATATAGTGTAAATATTTATATATTATTTGTAAAAATATATTTACATTTTTTTTTATAAAAATGAAATAGAATATTTACTTTTATTGATGTGCTGATATATGCTTTTATTATTAGTATGCTATTTATATTTTTATTACTTGAAGTCCTAACTGTACCTAATTTTTTCTTCTTTTGGACTTTTATAATTGTTATTATTTAGAAGACTTATATTTATTTGAAAGACATTCATAAAAATTATAACTTTACATCTAAAATTAACAAAAAGAAAGATAAAATGTAAGGACTTGTTAACTAATTACTTCCTGCAATAGTAAATATATAATTATATTTATTTAAATTGATTATATTATACTTTAAAAATATAAAGGCTTTAAATAAATTAAGACATCAGGATTTCTAATTTAACAAAAGAGAATTAACAGACGAATTTGAAGATGTAACAATTTTATTTGCCGATATTAAAGGTTTTACAGAATTTTCAGATAAAGTAAAAAATCCTAAAAAAGTATTAAAAATGCTAAAAGATTTGTTCGAAGGATTTGATAAATTATGTTTAAAAAATAAAGTTTTTAAACTTTATACTATAGGAGATTGCTATGTAGTTTTAAGCTTTGTAGTTGCTGAAAGACAAAATACTACTGAAGAGAAAATACAAGAAGCTAAAAATGGTAAATTAAAATATTATTTATTATATAAAAAATAAATAGTGGTAAATATGGGATTAGAAATGATAGAAACAATAAGTCATGTTAGAAAAGATTACACTTTTTTAAATATGAGAATAGGAATACATACAGTAAAAAGTTTATAATATTATATATTATTTAAATTTTTAATAAAAGGGTAAAAAAATTATTGGTGGTATTTTAGGAACACATGTAGTTAGATACGATGTATATGGAAATGATATTAGAATTGCAAACAAAATGGAGTCCAGTGGAGAACCAGCAAAAGTAATGATTAGTTAATCTACTAAAGATTGGATAGAAAAAGAATAAAATCATAATTATAGTATTGTTTGGGCAAAAGAAGTTTAGATTAAAAGCAAAGGAAAATCTACTGAAATTATTTAGAGTTATTTTATAAATAAAAAAGCTTATTATTAATGAATATTTATATTTTTTTCAAATAATTATATATTTTTTTTTAAAAAAAGAAAAAATAGTAAATTTATTTTTTAACAAAATTATAAATTATAAAAATAATAATAAAAAATATTAATATTATTATTTTTTAGTTTTTTTTTTAAGTTTATATAATAATAAAATTATTTTTTATATAAAAAATCATTCTTTTTTTAGTTATTATTTATATATTAATTCTTTCAATACAATAGCTTCTTCATTATTTGAATTTTATTATAAAACATTCTATTAAATTTAAATAAAAAAAAATATATATAATAAGTATGGATACATTCAAAAATTATAAAGCCTAATCATAATTAGTCAAATTATATTAAATTTATGCAATTTTAAAATTAGTTTCTTAATTGTTAGGTTCAATTTATAGAGCTTTTTATAAATGATCTTAAGCCTATTCAAATTTCTATTTCTCTAAATATAATCCTCCAATATAATTTCTCCACTAAACATTACCAGGTTCAATTTTAATAGCTTTTTCGAAATAATCACAAGCCAACTCATAATCATCCAATAAATAATAAGTATTTGCCAAATTATAAAGCGCTGCCGAATTTTCAGGATCATATTATATTGTTTATAAAAAACATTCAAGTGCTTTATAAAAATCCTATTTAATACAATAAACATTTCCCAAATTATATAAACAGTCCGGTTTCTAAAAGTTTATTTTTAAGCAATTTTAATAATGTATAACTGCATTATCAATTTAACTTTTCATGTAATAGCAGTTTCCTAAATTATACTCTATTTCTTCATTTTATTCGATTTATAATATTTCTTTATAGTATTATATTGCTAAGTCGAAATTTTCTATCAAATAATAACAGTTTGCAATTCCGATTTTACTCTCGATGTCATTTTGATCACATTCTAGAGCTTTTTAGTAATATTTTAAAGCTATTTATTCACTGTTATTTTTATAAAATATTGATCCTATAGCTTTAAAAGCTCCGCTAAATCGAGGATTTATTTTTAATGTCTCTTTGAATGCTTCTGTAGCTTTTTTATATTCCTCTTTCTCTATATAAGCTAGTCCTAATTAATAATAGGCTTTAGCATAAGTTGGTTAATGTTGGACTATTTTCTAATAACATTAAATCGCTTAATCTATATTATTTAATTTAAATTAAAATAATTTTCCAAGGCGAAAGTTCACAATTAGATTTTTATCATCAATTTCTAATGCTTTACTAAAAAAATAAAAATCTTATATTTTGTATTTAGTTTTGTTATATTTTACTTAAAATAAACTAATGCTTATTAATAATTTTATAAAAGGCTTTATGTAGTTGCATATTCTATTAATGAATTTAAATGATTAGGATCGAATTCTATTTATTTATTTTTTATTAATTTTTTTTTTTTTTACTTAAAACATTTTAAAATTAATCATTAGCTTTTTTGAAGTCTTTTTTTATAAAAATAGCATTCCTAGGAAATAATGAGAATTTGAATTAAATTTATCATTTAAGCTTGTGATTGCTAACTACGCATATTTTATTGCAATATCAATTTCCTATTTTTTTCATAAGCTTTTGCCAATCCTATTAAGCAATTATAATTTTTAACCAAACTATAATGCACTTAATAAATTTGCAACTGCTAAATTTATTTTTTCTTCTCCTTCATATAATAAATAACCCTATAAAAATATTAATAAACATAATATTAATATATTACTTCTCCTAATTTATAAAATATTTTAAAGTCAGATTATTTTAAAGATTATGCTTTTAATAAATTATCAATTCCATTATCGAGATAGTCATTCTTAATTTAAAATGATCCTAATTTGTAATACGCTAAATAGTTTTTCGTATTAAATTATATAGCCTCTTCATAAGATTTAATAGCATGCTAAATATGCTTCGTTTTAGAAAAGCATCTTGCAATTTTTAATAATATATATTATTACTAATTTGTACATTTGAAAACTATTTTGTAATAATATAATGCTTATTCATAATCTTTTTATGAATCAAATATTTCAGCTAATCCTAAATTAATCTTTTTTAAAAAAATAATTCATAAAAAAATAAAAAAAATAAAAATATTTATTTATTTATAATTTTTTTTAAAAAAATACTTTATCTTATTGAAATTTTTCATTTATTTGTTAAACTTTAAGGAAATTCTATTTAGCACTTTAAATATCATTATTTTATAAAAAAAAATAACACATTCTATATAAAGCATAATAATTATTTGAATTTTCATTTAAAACTTATAAGCATTTTTATTAATCCCAATTTTCATAATTATTATTTTCTTAATCATTTATTTATTTTTTACTTTTTAATTTAATTTTAGAATTATTTTTTTAACTTTCAGTGTTTTATTTTTCGCTATTGACTTAACTTATTTAATCCTATTATTATTCTTAATTTAAACTGTTTTTATTATTTATATTTTATTCTATTAAGGAGTTAAATTATTAATCTTAATGTCCAACATTTTTCATTTCTTCATTTTTATTATTCTCTAATTCAAATCTATTATTATTATTATTTTCTTGTTTATTTTAATTTGACTAATCATCTAACTATTAATCTTAATTCTTGTCTAATTTTAAATTTTAAGATTATTCAATATTCTAATTTTATTTTAGTTCTAATTATTATTTTAAACTTCTTAATTATTCTATTTCAGTTTGACTTATATATTATTTTAAACTATTTTCTTAGTTTTATTATTTTTCATAAATTAATGATTTTTATATTGATAATTACAAAGTTTCGGTTTCTTAACTTTATTTTTACACATTCTATTATAATTAATCATGTTTTTGTTAATTTGATTCTTCATTATCTTATTTTTCTTAATTTTATCCCTCTTAATCTTTTGTTTCTAAATATTATTATTTTGTATTTTACTTTTCTTAATTTTATAATTCCTCTTTTACATTTTAATTATTATTATTTTATTCAATTTGTATTTTAGAATTTGTTTAATCTAAATTATAATTTTCTAATTTTGATTTATCTTGAATTAATTATTTTTATTAATTTTATTTTTCTAAATCATATTTTTCTTAATCTTATTTTTATAAATCATATTTTTCTTAATTCTATTTATCTAAATCATATTTTTCTTAATTTTATTTGTCTAAATAATATTTTTCTTAGTCCTATTTTTTCTCATTTTCTTTTTAATCTTTTTCCAATTATATTTAATTTTAACTTTTATTAGCTTAATATTCTAGTTAGTTGTAAGTTTATTATTTTTCTTAATCATTTAATTATGTTATATTTAATTCAGATTTTCTACTTTTTCTATCAGATTTTATACTCTTTTATTCTTTATCTAAATTTTCTTTTTTTAAATTTTAGTTTTTATCGTGTAATTTATTTTTTTCCATTAACTATTAATTATTTTAATCGTCGGAAATTTTTTCTTTTAATGACTTTTTAGATCTTTAACTTAATTAATTTATTGAGTCATTTATTATCTATTAACTTTATTAATTAATTTATATTTTTTAGTTATTTTTAACCTATTTTGGAGAAAATTTATTTATTTTTTCTAAATTTTATAATTCTTTTTATTATAATTTTTATTTATCTATTGTTTATACTTATTAAATAGTTTAAATTTATTATTATAATGTAATATTATTTATATTATCATTATTTTTTAATTATTATACATTTTCTTGTATTTCGATTTCCTAATTTTTTTATTTCTGTAAATCACTTTATATCTATAAATTCTATTATTCCTTATTGCCGTTTTTAACTTGTTCTTATATTTTATTTGATTAACTATTTATTTCCAATTGAGGTTACTTTGTTATAAATATTTAAAATAAATTAAATATATAAAATAAAAAAATACTTAAGTATTTTATTTTATAATTTCTTAATTGATACTTTTTTAATTATTATTAATAGTATCTATATTTTGATATTTCATTTAAATATTATCATTTTAATTTTCTTCTTATTTTAATTTTATAGTTTATTTATTTTAGGTATTTTAATAATTATTTACATTTTAAATATTATTATTAATATTTTGATCTTATATTTGGTCTTGTTATTAAATATTAGTTTAATTGTTTTATTATTTTTATTGATTTTCTTTAATTAAATTTTCTTATATTTAAATAGATTTTCTAGCTTAATTTATAGTATCGTCCTACTTAATATTTTCTTAAGTATTTTTTTTTTTAATACTTTAATTTTAATTCTAATGAATTCTATAATCTTATTATTTAATTAATTATTGCTATTATAATTCTAAAATCTTTTTTGTTTATTAATTGGTACTTTCGTTTTCTTGCTTTTGCTATTAAATTAGTTCTAATTATTATTATACATATTATTTAATATTTTAATATTCTTTTTCTTAAATTTATTTAATTTATTGAATTTCTTTATATTCTTTTTATTAAACTTCGAACTATTTTTTTTATTAGCTTTATAATTCTATAATTTTTTATTCTTAAGCTTTTAAAAATTCCATTTTTTTTTCATGTTCTTATTATTATTAATATAATTTAATTTCCCTTTTTTTAATTCTTCTTCTTTTTCTATTTATATTTTTTTAATTTCTTTAATTTCCACATCTTACTATTTATACATTTATTAAAGTTATAAAATCTATATTTATAAATTATCTTATTATTTAATTTCCTTTTTCTAACCAATTTATTGTTATTAATTTTTATTTATTTAATATTCGCCTAAATCTTATTTTTTTTCAATTACACTTGTTTTAATATTTTTCTATAATTTTTTTTACTATTTAAGAGAATCTTTATCGACCAAATTTTTGGGTTTTCCATTGAAAAATAATTCTAAATTTTTTTTTTAAACTTCACTTTTATTAAATGTTTAATAAAATTTTTTTTTCTCTCCAGCAGTTTTAGCCTACTATATTTATTTTGTTAAATAAAATTAATCTTAGATTGAATTTAATCTAACTTGATTTGAATCATTATTACTATCTTTAATTTTATCTGTACTGCATTTACTTTGCATGTTTTTCATAAATTCTTTCAAATTTTAATTTTTGATTTACTCTTCTTAATTAAAATAAGATTAATTTTTATATTAAAAATAATATTTTTAAGGAACATTAATTTTTACAATATAATTTTAATCTATTTACTTATTTATATTGTTTGTATGTATAGAATTTTATGTCTATATCTTAGTAGTAGAAAAAATATTAGTATTATAATTTTTATTTATTATAAAATTATTCCCATTTTTTCTTTAATTAAAATTTGGGGTTACAAGATACATTTTTTTTTATCGTTTAGTTTATGAAGATTAAGAATATTTATAATATTATTATTAATTTTATATTGATCTTACACTATTTTATTTATTAAAAAAAAATTCATAATTATTATTTTAAATTTCTGAATGTTTATTATCCGATATTTAAGGATTGCTTAGTTTTTCAATTTTTTCTTAAATTAATTCTTTGGATTGTTCATCAATTTTAATTTTTTCTAATATCTAATTTATAAATATGATATAATAATTTATAAATTAAAAGTACATATTTATATGTATTTATAGCTTTTTCATCAAAATTCAAATACTCATAAATCAAGGCAATATTAAAATAGGACATTTTAACTAAATCTCCATTATTATTTAAATATATTTCAGTTAATTATTTAAATATTTCTAATGATTACTAATATTTTTCTAACTTAAAAAGCAATATTGCATGATTATATAATGTGCATGGATTAGGATTAGGTTATCTTAACATTTTTTAATAATTATTTTGTGCTTTTTCTTCTTATTTTCTTTCTGCTAAAATTATGTTTAAATTATTCGCTGCTTTTTCGTCAAAAGGAGACTATTTTAAATATTCGTCCAGTAGTAATTTTGCTTGTGTATGTTTGCATTATTTTTTTAACAAATTACTATAATTAATTACAGCTTTTGAATAATAACGATCTATTTATAAAACCTTTGAAAAAATTAAATATTTGTTATCATTTTTTTATACTTTTTCGAAATAAATAGCAGATTAATCATATTAATTAATTTCTTGAAATGACATTGCTAAATTAAAATAAATTTTTATATTTATATAATTGGACTATATTAATTATTAATAATAATAAATGGCTTTTTTAAATTCATTAAATTCATAATAAAACGTTGCTAAATTAAACAAAGTTAAATAATTTTTCTAATCTAACTAAAATATTTAAAATAATATTTTTTTATTTATTTTTTTAAAAAAATACTTCTAATGCATTTTAAAGAAATTATTATTATGTTTGTTTAAAGCTTTCTAAATTTTGATTTTAATAATCTATTGAACTTTCTAAAAATATCAATTTTTTAACATATGCATATAAATTAATGGCATCGATTCTTTTTTCATCAATTTAAAATATATTTTGCAATATTTCTATCTTTACTCAAATAAAAATAAAATAAATATTTTTATATGTAT